GGGAGAAAAGTCTACTATTGCCTCTGAAATATTGTCTGCCATCTGTTGATTAATATAGCAGACAGATCAAGTTCAATTAAGTGAATGGGTGAGTTTTATCTACCTGTAGGATGGCCATACATTACAATTGAATATATTTAAAGTAAAGCTTTGTGATCTTCTGTATATTAAGATAATCGAAAATGAATCTTGATGTGAATGGAAGGGGAGAGGGAGTGGGAAGGGGGAGGGTTGTGGGTGGGAGGGACGGTATGGGGGGGAAAGCCATTGTAACCCATGAGTCGTACTTTGGAAATTTATATTCATTTAATAAAAGATTAAAAAAAAATAAAGTAAAGCTTTGAATATCAGTTTTTCCAATTTTAATTTAAATGAAGTAGGAACAATAATCTATGCTTATTCTATTAACTAACATTAAACACAATATTATGCTCACTTGACCAACATGCATTAAATGTGTCTGCAGGCATAATTAAACTAAAAATATCTAAAAATTCTTCAAACACAAGTCCAAATTTTACTTTCAGGGATGAATAGTAAAATTTTTATGAATTTTGAACTCTTTCATATGCATACATATACTCTGAGATACCACCAGAGTCCAATGAGTAACTTATAAATTATTCTTATAATTCAGAAAGAGATGAATGGTTATATTATTTACATATACTTGGGGGAAGAGAGAGGCAAAAATAAGGTTTTGAGGGAAAGAGATATGATCCATGAAATCTAGACACTTTGGACCAAAAAAAATAGTATTCAGGAAATTGGGGATAATTAGTATATTTTTAAAAATACTGTCTTTCATATACTGCATTTGTCAAAGAAAGAAATAGTAAACATCAAAAGGAAAGATACTTCCAAAATACTATTTAAATAACTTTAAATGTCTGAAGAACTGAAAGATACCACCTGTATTAGGATTCAGAACTTCAGCACTTCCAATTTCTGCCCTTGGTTTTATTCTTGATTCTCATTTTTAAGACTGGTTCTTTCCGTATTTGGACAGTGTCAACTTTAAGCTCAAGATTCTCCTAAATCTCAAACTGAACTTCTCAGAAAACCCGAAGGTCACATTCACAGAACAGATGCAGAGCGGAATTAAATGAATGGGGCACTGCTTGAGCGGCAGCTTTTCTTTTTTATTCTATCATAGATGTGGTTAATCCTCAGATGATTATTTTTGTAATATAAACTATATATCCTGGATTATAAAAACTAATTCCTTGACACACTCTGTAAATGCTTTTGTAAGAGCTAATTTTAGATTGTTTCTAACTTCATTTCATCATCAGAGACATGCTACATTTATAAAAATTCTCTGGTGCCTCTTCAGAATCTCTTGTATGCAAACAGTCTGTCACAACACAAACTAACAAATGTTTAACTAATGTGGAAAAGAGAACGGTGATATTTATTGTCCTGCTTTTTAAGTGTTGAGTGAGATGGGGAAAGTTAGGACAAATTGATAATATAAGATGATGTGATGTACAGGATAACAAAATGTAGGACAAAAACAATGAAGTGCACTATTAATTGCCAAATTTGACATGCTGTAATTTAATTGATACCTATTATTCAACTGTTATTACCCTTATATTTCACAGAGTAGCTTTTCTGAATGCTAATTTATAACACCTGCCATTTGTTCTAACAGTAATACTTTTTATTTTTGCAACTTTTTGTAGTCCATAAAACATTTCATATCAGTATTTCACATCAGTGACTTAGGTAGAAATAGGAATGTACCTACCCTTTTTAGATAGGTAAAACCAATCACAGAACACAGTCATATTCTTACATATTTCTGAGAGTAAACTGATATACATTTTCTCCCCACCAGACCTGGAGTTAAAACACACTCATGCAATTTGAAAGAAAATTTCTAAGGACATTTTTTCCTTTGTGAAAATTGCAATTATATTTCCAGCATTCTCTTCTCTCTTTGAGATAGGTTAAAATATACAGGTGTGATTCAAATTAACAATCAGAAAAAAGTAGTGTTTTAAAAAATGATGGGTTTTCTGATTACAGAAATATTTCATGTTAAGGGAATATAAAATATAGAAATTCAGTTTGCGGGAAGAGGAATTAGGTGATTACATTGTTTTACAAAAAAACTCTGAATAAGATTGTTTTAAACAGCAAACTTCCCCAGCACATTTAAAATATGTTGATTTATGAAAATCTGATTCATACAAAACTTTACAGGAATACATCTGTTACATAAATCCATGCTCACCTGTAATTTACTCTAGAGAGAATGACTGAGTGATAATAATAATAACATACTCACATAGTTCTTCATTATATATTTTAAAGTTCTTTCCTCTAATTTATTGCTTTTGTCTTTGGGAACCTTCTAGGGCAGGCAGAGAGCATATTATCCTTTCTTTATGGATGAGATATTGAGAGGTTAAGTGACTTGCCCAAGGTCAGACAGGCATTCATTCATTTACTGCTCTGAGTGATGTAGTTTTCACAGAGTCGTCAAGGAAGTAAGCTTCTTCCTCCTCCCCCCCTTTTTTTTCTTTTAGCCAGCTGTGAAGGCTATTAAAACAGAGCTGGATGATCTCACAAATACAATGCTGAATGAAGGAAGCCAGACACCAATGTGTACATACTGTATGATTCAATTAATACAAGATTCAAATGCAGGCAAAACTAATCTGTGGTGACAGAAGTCAGAATGGTGGTAGTTACCTTCGGAATGATGGCTGAAGAGTAAAGGGAGGTTTAATAACGTTCCAGTTGTTGACCCCAGGTCTATGTAGTTATGTGCACTTGTGGAAATTCACCAAGAGATGCACTACCATTTGTCTGCTTTTCTTTATATGTATTATGGAAATTTTCCCTTAAAATATTTTATAAAAATAGTTATTTTTAAATGTACCTTAGAAGATCATTAAATATACATATCCTTGGATCATATGTGATTTCAATTAAGTTAACCTGTATTTTATAAATAAGAATTTGAACAGAATCTCAAGTTTAAAGAGAGAAAAGAAAAGGTTTATAGAAAAAATATCCATTATTAGGGCTGGTGTGGTGGTGTAGCAGATGAAGTTGCTGCTGGTGATGCGGGCATTCCATCTGGGCGCCAGTTTGTGTACTGGCTGCTCCACTTTCCATCTGGCTCCCTGCTAATGTGCCTGCGAATGTAGCCCCTGCATCTGTGTGGGAGACACGGAAGAAGCTCCGGTTCCTGGCTTTGGCCTGGCTGCGGCCATTGTGGCCATTAGGAGAGTGAGCCAGTGGATGGAAAGCCCTCTCTGTCTCTGTAACTCTGCCTTTCAAAGAAACACATCTTACAAAAAAAAAAAAAAGTGGAAAAAATATTCAATATTATATTCAACTGAGGAAGTGCCTATATGAAATGGGAAACTGGAACAGAATAAAATGATGCAATTTACTTAGGACTAGGTCAAACATTCATAACCAATGATATCAAACTAGGGATTATGGGAAAATGAGATTATGTTGTTATTCATATAGCATATCCTAGAAAGAAATTCAAGGAAGAGAATACAATTTAAAAATATACCCATTTCATTGTAGAATACTGTATATTAGGATACTATGTTGAGCACTGGGGTACAAAGCGAATGTCAATGCCAAAACTCTGGGTAAGAATATGCAGAGGGGAATACTTTTGAATCATTTTCCGGGGTAGAAATTACAGGTGTGTTCAACTGCTTATAGCAATTTCAAAATTTATATTGTAGTTGTTCAAGAATTCTTCATACTCTATATTCCATAATGCTAGGAAGTTATGCACTACTTCTAAGCAAAGTTACCCCCGAAGACAAATGTTTAATTTGTACATAGAATCTTTTAAAAAAAAAATCCATTATTGTACCAAAAATTATCTGTATAAATTATCTATCTTGGTATTGTAGGCCAGGAAGAGAGAGTTCCAGGTGGTGGGTCAGATGTGGTCCCCACGTGCTTTTATTTCACGAGATCTTGCAACAACAGCTCTATTTGCAGCTACCTGGGTGACTTTCTCCCGGGAACTGCTGAAGGCTTCCCATGTAGGGAGAAACCTTTGATCTTTAACCCATATGCACATTGGTTTCAATTCCTGCTATGCTCCTGTATATCTGTATGACCTAGGACCTAGCTAAATTTTTTTAAAAGTAAATTTTATGCCATGCTGCATATCACACAACATGCAGAATGGATGCTTTCAAACTTATTATGCACCCTGTGCAGTCTCTGGGCCCACATATTCGACTTCTAGGGGGAGCTCAGTGAGCTGTTCTCTGGAATTTGGGTCACTACAGAATTATGCTATTTCTCAGTGGTTCTCATACCATAAAGTATATTATAAAGGCAGCTTGAGAGACAGAGAGAAAGAGACAGGCGGTAATAGATTGAAGGCATCTGCTCTCCAGGGTTCAGCAGGCTGACCTAACATCTTGTCTACTGGCAAAGGATGAAGAAACATGAGGAACTGGGACTTGTATATCTATGGGGAAGTCCATGTGGAATCATTTCATCATCGTTTTTTAAGTGACTGACATTCAAAGGGCACAACTCTCTCCCTCTCTAGGTCGGGCTTTTCAACAACAGAAAAATTCCTTGAATCACTGGACAAGGTTTTATGCTAATTCACACTTAGCCACGCCTGAACACTTTGAAAAAGCATTTCTATTTGAACTAATAAGCATATCCTTAATTTAATTTCCATTACAACCTCACTGCTTAAATCACATTCCCTCCTTTGACCTTCTGCAGGGCCACTCTCCATCCTCCAACCAGGGATCTACCCTTTTCTCTCCTATATCAGTTCTGTACATGTGTAGGCTGGTGGCACTCAGCGTGTAGTAGAACTGCCATATTACTTTTTAACTCCTGCTCATTTCTACTTTCTTGTTATTGGTCATGACAGATACATATGTGTCAGGTAATCTTGACCATAACTTTTAATAACCTGATCTTCCATTGTTTTTAGCATTGAAAATGATAAACTGAATATGATAAATTGAGATACTTGCCATCAAGCCTTGTTCTCCTGGTTTCCCTGGTTCACCCTTAAAAAAGAATAGAAAGAATTTTAGCAATGCTATGAAAATTGGAAATAATTTCAGTCATAATTTTCTTTTTCCTACTACTCCCTGGGGTACACAAATGTTAACAATGTTTTTTTCAGATTAGATAGAGGAATATAAATATAGCTAAACTGAAAGACAACTGATATTCTTTCTTCAAATGAATTTTTTTTTAACTTTTATTTAATGAATATAAATTTCCAAAGTACGATTTATGGATTACAATGGCTTCCCCCCCATACTGTCCCTCCCACCCACAACCCTCCCCTTTCCCACTCCCTCTCCCCTTCCATTCACATCAAGATTCATTTTCGATTATCTTAATATACAGAAGATCAGCTTAGTATACATGAAGTAAGGATTTCAACAGTTTGCTCCCACACAGAAACATAAAGTGAAAAATAATAGATGATTTTTTTAAAATGATGATGAAATCAGATCAGACCTATTGTCATGTTTAATCCCAGTGAGAGTCAAGTTGGGAGTTGATAATTTCTTTTTCTTTTTCTTTTTTTTTCACAGAGGATCAGTTTAGTATGCATTAAGTAAAGATTTCAACAGTTTGCACCCCCATAGAAACACAAAGTGAAATATATTGTTTGAGTACTCGTTATAGCATTAAATCTCAATGCACAGCACATTAAGGACAGAGATCCTACATGAGGAGTAAGTGCACAGTGACTCCTGTTGTTGACTTTACCAATTGACACTCCTGTCTATGGCATCAGTAATCTCCCTGTGCTCCAGTCATGAGTTTCCAAGGCTATGGAAGCCCTCTGAGTTCTCCGATTCTTATCTTGTTTAGACAAGGTCATAGTCAAAGTGGAGGTTCTCTCCTCCCTTCAGAGAAAGGTACCTCCTTCTTTGAAGACCTGTTCTTTCCACTGGGATCTCACTCACAGAGATCTTTTGCCAGAGTGTCTTGGCTTTCCATGCCTGAAATACTCTCATGGGCTTTTCAGCCAGATCCGAATGCCTTTAGGGCTGATTCTGAGGCCAGAGTGCTATCTTCAAATGAATTTTATAAACATTTTAGGATTCATTAAAATTAGCCTAAGTCACCATGTCCTCTTTAAAATGAAATAAATATGATGACCTGGTGTCTTGCTTGTGAAAATACAGAACTTTCATAGGTAGGACAGAAATGTAATTGCTTTAAGTGTTAACAAACAATAAAAGGAACAGGAATTGATTGTGTATAATGGTCTTTTTGGATCAGTGATGGCTAAAGTAGTATGTTTCATTATAATTCATAGAAAAAATTCTGCTAGATCACACCATTGTCATCATTTTCTAATATTCAGATTAATATGGAACTGATTACCATGTTTTATTGTCATATTATATTGTAGTGCCAATATATAAAGATTTTCTAGGCCTTTAACATAAGTACTTCCCAGTTCATTTTTATAAATTCTTTTTGTAGTGGTTATGATAGCCCGTACAAGTTAACTGAGAACATATGCAAATTATGTTTGTGGAACTGACAAAAAAGTTAGGGGGCCAGCATAATGGTGCAGCAGGTTAAGCCACTGCCTACAATGCTAGCATGCCATATAAGAGTAAGTTCCGGACCCAGCTGCTCCATTTCCAATCCAACTCCCTGCTAATGCATCTGGGGAAGCAGCACAAGCTGTCCCAAGTATTTAGGCCCCTGTCACCCATGTAAGAGAACTGAATGGAGTTTCAGGCTTCTGGCTTCAGCTTGGCCCAGCTTTGGGCATGGATGCCATTTGGGGAGTGAATCAGTGGATAGCAGACCTCTCTTTCCCTCTCCTTCTGTAACTCTGCCTTTCAAATAAATAAATGAATCTTCAAAAACGTTGACTTCTTCTCTATGTAAAACATTCTTTATTTCAGGGCCAGCGATGTGGTATAATGTGTTAAACTGCCACCTGCAACTCCAGCATTGCATATGGGAGCTGGTTAGAGTCCTGGCTGCACCTGGGAAAGCGGAAGATGATGGACCAAGTGCATGGGCCCCTACACTTACATGGGAGACCCAGAAGAAACTCCTGGCTTGGGTCTGGCCCAGTTCTGGCCATTGTGGCCAATTGGGGAGCGAATCAGTGGATGGAAGGAAAATTTCTCTCTCTCTTTTCCTCTTTCTCTCACTCTTCTTTTCAAATAAATAATAAAATAAATATTTTTTTAAGATTGATTTATTTGAGAGAAAGAGCTACAGACAGAGGGAGAGACAGAGAGGTCTTCCATCCACTGGTTCACTCCCAAATGACCATAATGGCTGGAGCTGAGCGATCTGAAGCTAGGAGCTTCTTCTGGGCCTCTCATGTCGGTGCAGGGGCCCAAAGCGCTTAGGCCATCTTCTACTGCTTTCCCAAGCCATCGGCAGGGAGCTGGATTGGAAGTGGAGCAGGTGGGACTCTAACTGGTGCCCACAGAGATGCCAGTGCTGTCGGCAGATGCTTTAACCTGCTGTGCCACAGCACCAGCCCCATCTTTTTTTCTTATAAGTGATTTCTGTTACATTATACAATGCCCCATGACCCAATTTTGTGCCATCAAACTGATTTTAACCACCTTATTTGATGAGACACTAGTGGTATCTCTGTTGGCAACCAGTACCATATTATTGACATTTGACCCATGTTAGTAACTATGCATTGAGATCACTTTAAATAATTTCTATTAGTAAGTCTTACATTGAAAGGACAAATAATAACCAAACCATATCCACTAATGTTTTTTTTTCTTTTTTTCTTTTTTTTATTTTATTTTTTGACAGGCAGAGTGGACAGTGAGAGAGAGACAGAGAGGAAGGTCTTCCTTTGCCGTTGGTTCACCCTCCAATGGCCGCCTCAGCCGGCGCGCTGCGGCCGGCGCACCGCGCTGATGTGATGGCAGGAGCCAGGTACTTCTGGTCTCCCATGGGGTGCAGGGCCCAATTACTTGGGCCATCCTCCACTGCACTCCTGGGCCACAGCAGAGAGCTGGCCTGGAAGAGGGGCAACCGGGACAGAATCTGGAGCCCCGACCGGGACTAGAATCTGGTGTGCCGGCACCGCAGGCGGAGGATTAGCCTATTGAGCCGCGGCGCCAGCCCATATCCATTAATGTTTTAACTATGAATTTTACTGTTCCTATTAGCAGTTTTTTGGTCAAGTCATTTACAAGAGATTAAATATTGGGGAGTTTTCCCTTCTTTATTTTCCATAAACAATGAGACTTTATTCTGTCTGCTACTGATTCTTTGGAAAGTATTTTTAATCTCCCACTTCATCTATCAAACTCATCTCCCAATTATGGCAAAGGCATGGATGCACCTATACTAGGGAAGACACAGGGACTCCTAGGCATCTGCGGTCGTGAACATCTTGAGGTTCACCTGAAAACCACCTTGGTTACCATCTCCAGGTCTGTCTTCTGAGTGGCAAGGTGGAATGCTGCTGGGAGTGCACTGCTTGGCTTGGGGACTTTCCTTTCATCCCATTTCTTCAACCCACTCCTGACCCCTGAGCATCCAGCCCCTGCCACCCCATTCCATCCTTGTTCTCAGCCCTTAATATTCAACAGAAATGGTGAGAACAGCTGATCCAAAAAGCAACTCACGGGTACTCCAGGCATTCCACGGGGACCATCTTTCCCTGTGTCCCCAGGTGGCCCTCTTGGGCCTGGAGGGCCTGGGGGTCCTGGAGGCCCTGCTTGTCCTTGGTCACCCTGTAATGGAGAATGGAACAGTTCAATAATAAACATGAATGATCAATATCCAGGTCTTCTTTTCAATGCTTTAAATTTGTACTATCTAATTCCACATTTATACTAAGAAAAGAACCAGAACCACCAGAAACATGAAGCCTTGTAAGGCAATTTGCCTGCCAGCAGGGAGCAAATACATATTCATGCAGGCTGAGCTGAGTAGATGCTATTAAAAATCAACACAGTGCAGGAACCAGCACTCACAGCTCTTAGAAATGGTGTGTATGTTATCACTATATTCACAGCTCCAGTTAAACTTTCACATAACTTTATCCATGACAATCCTGTATCAGTAAGATTCACCTTGTTTAATAAAATGCCTGCATTTATAGTTTAACAAATGTGTTTAGTTTTTCATAACCTCCAAAATTAAGTATATGAGGCTCCTGCGATATTGCTTAATAATTTAAAAACTTCCAAAGTTAGAGAGCTTAGAAACTAGATTTATTATAGGTTGCAATTTTTTAATTAAAAAAATTAAATGGGCTCTCTATGTCTTTTTTCTTTTGGTACTTTCATATACATTAAAAAAATGCAGGTTGTTAAACATAATTTTTTTCTAGGATATTTCAAAATAAACACCCACCCCACCACCCATGCTCTACCCATGAGAGATAAATGGCAAAGCAACAGCACCCAGAGCAATAACTGAATGTCAAGAAGAAATCAGAATTCAGCAAGAATAAGCACTACCTTAATCAGGCGGCGTTTAATGAGCTGCTGATCAGCAGAGAGAAACCCATGATTGATTTTAGGAAACACCATCTGATCAATCAGGTGAGGTCAAAGGTTGAAGTTCAGAGATGAGAGAGTTGAAGAATAGACATCAGAAGACCACAAGAAAGAAATAAAGATATGCACATTAGATTTTAAATGGCCATTAAACAAGAGAACTGGCACTTATGTCTGACATCACCCTCTGGCTTGCCTTGAAATACATAACTGTGGCAAGATAGTGAGACCAGAATTGTAGTTAGAAACGAATGCTTTTTTTGTACCCCACCATTTATGCTATGAGTGTTAGATCTTTTTAATGTACTATATTCCCAGAAGCAGGCAAGTGGGTGCAGTCTGCGTTCTGCACCCAGAGCAGAGAGTCCAGAGACAAAGTGCCAGTTCCATTTACATCAGACTTGTCAACCAGCATAATGTGGCATGAACTTGACTGCCATTCTACTGATGCCCAATGCTCAGAACACTTAGGATTATTTCACTGACAAAATAGTATGACACCACATGACACCATGGAGGTGTGACAGGATCCTAAGTGATTATGTTTGCCTCTCTTCAATGTACCTGTTTGACCCCAATATCCTCCTGTTGAGTATGCACAGGACAAACCCTCTTAATAATGTTTGACCTCACTGATGTACGTGAGGTCCCAAGTTCCCAACACAGTCACATGATGTGTACGATGAGAGGAAGCAACCAGGCTGGGCAAGGCATTGAATTGTTCCTGCTCACTCTTATGCTGATTGCAGCTCTGACTGCGCAGGTATGAGTGTCAGTCACAAACCTTGACGGTGAGGATCTGATTACTGTGCAGGGCAGCGACTGTGGGGAAGCCTGGCAGACCCTATGGACACAGCACAGCACCAAAACAATACAACACAAAACGTCACACAGACATTTCACTGGTGGACAAACAAAACAAGCATGGAATTAATGCCTCCCTTCCCTGGCTGAAGTCTTGCCTTGTTTCACACACTGTAAACAAACTTACACACACACAAGGCCTGCACACGAACCAGCAACGTCTTAAAACGTGGTAAGACTGAGAACTTGTTGTAACCACTCCTTGCGGCAGGTACAACAGAATCAGCACAGTGGTGTGAAGAGTTTGGGGCTCAACATTTCTGCACCCTTACTAACAGAATGTTAGTACAAAGTGGGCTAATTCCACACTTATAAACCAATACTGTTACTGTTCCTCTATTGACATTAGGCTTACAGCTCACGACGTATAACACATGCACTACAGACAACAACAGGGAACAGAACTTTGCTATCAGAAGTCTTCCTGAGGATAAACACAAATACAGTTTACAAAATCTAGCCTTACCACCCACATTTCAAAATTTCTCTCTCCAATCAACTGGTCAATCTCATGTCTCTCTTGTTTCGGAAATTCCTAAAGAGGTGGTGGGTGGGAATCTGTCTCTCATAAAATGCGGATTTCACGTCAGGGGGATTTATGGTCACACTCTGCAATAATCACTTCTGTCACGTAACTTTTCCAAAAGAACTTGACAGTTCACACAACCCCCTACAGCAGAAAAGTGGTTTTGAATTCCTCATCCAAGGAGAATGGGGGATGTTTTAGAAACTTGTACTTCAGACCTTGTACAAACATCTTCCCAGGAGTTATCAGCTGGGTAGGTCTGAGCAGGAAACTTTGCCTTCATTCTATTTCTTTTCTAACAACATGTGAAATTGGAGCCTTTTATTCCAATTTTCTTTTAAAACACAGAACATCTTTATACCACACAAATAAACAACCTCCACAGCAGTGCTTGGCCTCAAGTTTCCAAGGCTTCTCTCCCCCCCTCCCTCCCCACCCCCGAATATATGTTGAGGATACTTTTGGGAAAGGCCAGAACATTTCTAGGTTTTTAATTTTTATTAGTTTTGGAGGAAATTTTTCTGCCTGTTTCCCCCTTATTTGGGCTATTTTTTTCTTTATAAAAAAGCCAATAAAATTAGGATTACAGTAGGAAGACATTTGTTCAGCCCAGATGCCCTGCACTCCTGTTCTTTAGAGTGAGTTCTTCTCAGGGAGAAAGGCAGAGGAAATCTCATCTCTCTGGCAAACCCCACTGATAAGGCGGTTAAGTGGCTGAGTATCGAGGTGACCTGTGTCCTCTTTTTTCTCCTTCAGTAAAAGGCCTTTACACGTAGACCCTGCACACATTCAGAAATTCTACAAGTTGGAAAGCAGATGTGTACAATTTGCTTTTGTTTTACTATGGAATATGAGTTTAAAATGTTATTAGATGGTAATGTGCCAGCATCTTCCCATCTGTGACTCATTAGCCCTGTATTACACAGTAAGAATTTTATATAGAAACCTCATATTTATGTAACAAAGAACAAAAACAGATAGCAACGAGAAGTGTATAAGGAATCAGAATCTTGATTAGTGGCGATAAATCATAGTGTCACTTGAAACAGGATTATCTAACAAAATAATTCTATATTAGAAACCTTTTAACAGCACATATGTTGGACCTTACAAATGTTTTGAAATTTGAATGTATAAATAAGTCACTTCTATACTCATATCTGAGAATGGCCAGTTTGCTGTTTGATTATATTTTCAAAATTCTCAAAGCACTGTAACTTCTTGGTTTGGTTTCCAGTCGCTGAGATCCAACAAAGGAAGTAGACCGGTAATTATCACCCAAGAAAGATCCTTTTCCTCAAACACAAAATCTCCACTGGAAGAAGCTGATCATAACATCCCTCAATCATTGTAACTGTGAAAATGTTGCCATATGTGAGCGCCTACAGTTACCATTCACATATTTCTCTAGTGAGATAGGCAAAAGGATCTTAGGAGTTTACATGTAGCACAGAAAAAATGGAACAACAATTGCACAGCCTGGACTGTGCTCTCCTAGATTCTGTGCTCTCCAACACGGAATAAAGGTACCCTTCGGAGCATGGACAAGTGTCCTGGGGAGTGCTGAAAGGCAGGAACAGATATAGAACACTTACCTCGAGAGTCAATTTTCATTAATAGTAAGTCATTTTAAACATTTTATGTGAGCAAACGTTGCTATGTTATGAGGGTAACATGTAGAATTGCATAAATTTTTAAAAATTTCACCATTTGATGGTAGCAATGAAACCCATCTCGGAGGGGCTACATTCAGATCACAGGCAGATGCTAACTGTGTGCTCCTGGCAGGAGTCCCTGCAGGGCTGGCTGAGAAGCACTGGTGCTGAGTACTTAGCAGCAGGACATGGCCTTGTACAGGCACACCTGCCACGCTTTCCTAGCCGCTTACACACAGAGTATACTTTCTCATTAACTATGAAATCCTTCTCCCCGCCCCAACCCAGTATCATTAGTCATAGTCCTCACTACATAAACGAAGTAGACGTATTTCACTTGGTTTTACATCTCAGAACATTGCCTGGTGAGCAGATGGCTTGAGTGGGTGTGGAAAAACTACCGAAAAACATGGAGAAAGAGTCCAGGAATGAGCTAAAACACTGAAACAATTTGTATATGTCTTTACCATCAAGAATTTTAGATTATCAAGAAACTGGGTGTCCATGATGTAAAACTACACTGAGAAATCACATTTTTCTCTGGAGAACATCAACACTCAGGGCAGCCTCAGGGGTCTTCATGGCATTTTGTAAAGGAGGTTATGTCTCAGGACCTGTGTTTGGACCTCATTATCAAAGGGGCACACTTCCTACATTAGCTTCTGCTATGAAGGATGCAAACCTGCCTCAAGGAGTTGTTGAACAAATAATTCATAAGAAATGTGTCTAACTTCTCAGAGGTCATAAATTCAAGATGTTATAGACATTTCATTATCTGAATATACTGTAGTAAGAAAATTTTGCATTTAGGCAAAAACATTCATTAAGGCAATACTAGAGGAAGAAATTTATTCTAGGGGCCGGCGCTGTGGCGCAGTGGGTTAAAGTCTGCAGCGCTGACATCCCATATGGGCTTTGGTTTGAGTTCCCGCTGCTCCACTTCTGATCCAGCTCTCTGCTATGGCCTGGGAAAGCAGTAGAAGATGGCTCAAGTCCATGGGCCCCTGCAACCCCCTGGGAAACCTGGAAGAAGTTCCTGACTTCGAATCAGCTCCACTCTGGCCATTGTGGTCATTTGGGGACTGAACCAGTGGATGGGAGACCTCTCTGTCTCTCTGGCTCTGCCTCTCTCTATAACTCTTTCAAATAAATAAAATAAATCTTTAAAGAAAGAGAAATTTATTCTAGTACTTCCATTTCCTGCCTTTGTATTTATGCAATTTGTGTTAATAATAATTTCTTTCTATTGGTTTTATAAATACTAGAAATCTTAAAAATTGACCAACACTCAACAGTATTTAAGAAGGACCTTTTGTGCAACACTTACTGTGCAAGGTCCTGGGATTGAGTGAAAAGACTTGAAGCTCACAGTGTTTAATAACTGGTGAGGAGTGGGGTGGGGAAACAAGCAGGCAGTAATCACGTTGGGTGATAAGTATTTTGATGTTGAAGTCAAGAGGCTACAAGGAAAATAACAGGTTTCAGGAGCCAGGGAAGACTTTTCAAGGCAGGTGAGTGAGGAGCTGGAGATGCAGAGACCATCCAAGAAGATGCTACAATAGTCTAACTGTGGAATTGCATCCTGGACCTAGAGCAGGGACAAGTCAATGGTTTCAAGTGATACTGCAGATGTAGAATTCACAGGACTTAACAATATGTCTGAAAACACGAGGGAGAAAGAGGAGCTGAGAATGGCTCCAGGTCCCTAGCTTGGGCCTTGGAAGGACGGCTGAGGGGAAACTAGAGAAAGCATGGTTTTCGGGGGCAGGTGATGCTCCCTGATGATGAATTGTGCTAGAGATTTGCTGAATTTGAGCTGCCCATGGACTGCCAAAGAATGGCAGTTGAGCAGGTATATAAAATTGTCAGGAGAAAAATGAGAATCCCTAGTCATAGGAGTACATTACGTTAGCTAGGGGAACTGAGAGAACAGACCAAGCCTTGGAAAGACCTAGATTTAAAGGATGAGCAGAGGAAGAGTAAAAACTACAATGAGGATTAATATAGTGGGTGTAGAAACAGGAGTAATGCTAGGTCTTCTCACAGACATTCTATACAGGCAAATAACTCAAGTGATACACACACTGCAGTGGTTATTGCTTCATTAATTAAGCAGAGTAAGTGATCCATAGTGAGAACAGGTTAAGGATGGTCAATGTCATTGACGATGAGTACTCACTGATAAGCACAGCGAGTGTACGTGAGGTTGTAGAGGTACAGAAGAAAAGATGAACAGTTTTGCTATCAAGAGTCAAACATCCCAAAGCACACTGGAAAAAAAAGTTATGCTTAGAAATGAAAATCCCCAAGTTTCTGTATAATGTACACAATCGTGCTTCTGTTTGCCCAAAATTATCATCCATTACAACACAACCATTGCTGTAGGCAGGTGTGAAGCAGAAACAAAGCATAAATAAAGATTAATATTCCTAGAAGTTGATAAAGTGATATACAGCTAAGGGAGACCAGATGGGGAAATATTACAGTAGGATGCAAAAATATTTAGGTAAAAGATTGAGTTTAGTTTAACAGCAGAATTGTTAGAGGGGTAAATAAAGAAGACACTAAGAGAAATTTGCTGTCCATATTACAGTAGATGGTATAACTTCTCTGTCTGAATAAAAAAATCAACTTTATGAACTTAAAGTAGTTAAAAAGAATCCTATGGGCAACAAAATAATGTAAGATTTGGAGCCTATGGAAATCAAAATTGGTAACTGATGGAAAAAAGACTGCTTTATGGAAGTATTAATTACAGAAAGAATTAGCCTTCTGTTGCTGAATGTTTTCAGCTGGCTC